AACTCAAGCTGCAATTGTAGATTCAAGTATTAAATTTCATCCTCTATGGAAAAAATTTAACATTTTGAAATTAGACAATAATATTAGGTCAATTGACCCAGAGTTTAGTGCCTGGCTTTTAAAGCTTGGAAATGGCGAGCTAACAAATGATCTTGGCTTAGACTCCGATACATTTGAAATACCATCTGAAATGGTTTGCAATGGCGATTTAGTCAAAGAAATTTATGGAGATAAATTGCTTCCTTCTGACTTTGAACAGTATACCGATAAGGCTATACAGTAAAACCCCGCTAATACGAACCCTGGGTATAACGAACCTTCCCTTATAACGAACCCACGCCGATTCCCAATTCCATTCCATTGAAAATACCATCGTTATAACGAACTTTGCGATTTTTAGAATAACGAACTATCCCTATAACGAACCTATTCTCGGTCCCAAAATAATAAAATCTATTTAAAATACTATGCTTATAACGAACTTAGAATTGTAATTTAAAAAATAATTAAAACAACAAAATTTTGAGCATATTTCAGCTCGCGGATCGCGATTTCAAAACAATAAATTTAGCGGCATTGTTTGTTTTGATTTTTGCTGTATGTTGTATAAATTTTAACACAAATTACTTTTTATTAAATAGAATATATTTGCATCCATTAAATTTGAAATATAAAAATGCAAATGGCTTCCAAAATGAAGAAAACAAAGGCATTTTAAAAACAAAAGCGTTATTTCTTAAAAAAAAAAAAGGCCATGTTCAGAACTTTTCAAAGTGAAACAACACAGGCAAAATGTTAAGAACATATTCAAATAAGAGAATATAAATTTTTATTATAAAAGATAAAATATTAAGCCATTAAAAATTGTTACAAAGGGGAATCAACCTCAACTTTTGCCGCGATCGCGATCGTACGTTTTAGAACTTAAAAAAAAAAAAAAGTCCAAATAAACGGTCCCGTGATGAAACAAAAATTATTTTTATGCCATTAACTATGGTGATTTTAAAGTCAGCAATGTTTTGCATGACAGGTTAAAAAAAAAAAAAAAAACGAAATCTAGACCTAGAATAATATGTGGGAAAATGAAATGGAAGTAAAACACTAACTTTATTTGAATGGTGCAATGCTTGAAGAATGCTTTGAAGCAACATGGTGTTAGAGCCATTTTTCCAAATAAATATTGTATTATATAATGTGATAATGATGTTTTAAAATCATTTTATATCTTTGAATATATATTTAATAAAACTTTGCCTAGGTTTTGTCTTGATTTTTAAATTAGACATAGAGGTACATGTATGCTAATGACAAGAAGAACCTATCATCTAATGATTTATATTATTATTTAGTATTAATATAAGGAAATTGATCAATTAAGGGGATTAAAACAAAGTGACCACTATTAAGAGGCAGCCTCTTCCAGTGTGTGTGGCTGTCCTTTAATTATACGGTCTAAAAATTTTGAAAAGTAAAAAAAATGGCCAAACCGTGGCTATAGTGAACCGTGGCTATAGTGAACCAAAAGCTCTGTCCCATTGGGGTTCACTATAGAGGGGTTTTACTGTACTTTGTCCCAGAAATGTGGATGTTGATGATATCAACAACCGAGTTTTAGATATCCTTGAAGGTGACTCCATAACATATTTCAGCTCAGACTCAATAGATGATGCGACACCTGAAGATAATGAGAGCTATCCACCGGTATTTCTCAACAGCCTTAACCCTTCGGGAATCCCACTTCATAAGCTGAAGCTATAAGTTGGAGCAATCATAATGCTTCTTCGAAACTTAAACACAAAGCGAGGTCTTTGTAACGGGACGAGATTAGTAGTAACTAAATTGTTACCTAATTTAATTATTGCAAAAGTTCGGACTGGCACTGCAGTAGATCAATCTGTATTTATTCCGAGAGTTTACTTGGCCCCAATACATTCTGAGATTCCTTTCATTCTCAGAAGGGGACAGTTCCCTGTAAAATTAGCCTTCGCTATGACAATAAATAAATCACAAGGCCAAACCCTTGAAATGGTTGGCATCTATTTACCTGAACCAGTTTTTAGCCATGGTCAGTTATATGTTGCTTTTTCTAGGGTGAAAAGCTCTAAGTGTGTTAAAATAAAAATAATCCACGGAAGCAAGCAAGGAAGGCTTCTTGAAAATAGTTCAGCTTGCTTCACCAAAAATGTTGTTTACAAAGAAATTTATTCATTGTAAGTTCACCTCTTTTAAAGTAAAAATGTTAATTAAAAAAATATCAATAAAATGACCCGAAAGGTAAAATGTTGCAACGCTCGGAAGGGGATCGATCCCTGATGGACCATGAACGTTATTTTACCTCGAACGCTTCCGATTACATATTATTAAGTATCAAAAAGGAATGTGAGAAATAAAATTAGGAATCCACCTGCTCTAGCCGATCCCGTCCTTGGACGGGCTTTTCTACTAGTGATAATTATAAATGTTCATCCCACTGACTTATATGACTTAATAACATCAACAAGCAATCCAGGGTTTCTTGCAACATTTTATTTCTCTAGCTTTTTGGGATAACATGTCCTTCAACAGGAGCACCTAGAAGTATAACTTTCAGCTAACTATACACTCCATATATATAGGTAGCTGTAAATTCTAGGTGCTTTTGTTGAAGAGCATGTTATCCCAAAAAGCTAGAGAAATAAAATGTTGCAAGAAACCCTGGATTGCTTGTTGCCATGATAATTATGCGTTGGGTAGTTAATAATTAAGTTTAATATAAGTATGTCACATGTAGAAAACAGGTCAACTTTTGCACTTACAAGGTAAAAGAGATCCATTTGGTTACTTGCATTTACTGGTGATGGTTGAACTTTGCAAGAATCAGAGGTCATTGAAGCATTTTTTTTCTTCAGAAAAAAGTCCCCAATTCTATATCCCAGATTGGGGGGTGTCAAAAAATCGATGAGGTGTACCACTTCTTCACCAACCCCCCCTCCCCCCCCCCCCAGTTAAATCAAAGAATAACTTGAACAGACCATCTTGGGTGGGAAAACAGGATGTTAAACCAAAGATGGTTGCTTATAGGAGAGAATAGCATTGATGTGACTATGAGAATTTTTCCAAGTAAACAACCTCTCCCTGAAGAGCTAGCTACAATGCTCCCAACTTACCCGTTAATTTCTTTATCAACATGCTGGATCTTGCTGGGGGGTTCAATGTCCTCCTCTCTCTTTCTCTTCTGCACTGAATCTCCTCCTCCATTCTCTACAGCACTGGAAACACAACACTTCAGTCTCTAGCTGTGATGATAGTGGAAGACTGCTGCTTCCATTCCAGATTACACAAGCTTAATACGGTAATACCTCCATGAGAGGGTACCTCTCTAAAAAAAAAAAAACAGTTTTCATTTGCAAAATAACAATTTTTATTTATCAGCAACTCTCCAGTAAGAGGACACCTCTCCCTAATGGACACTTTGACTCTGTGACTTGGTATTGTCCTGTCCCTCACAAAAAAAATTGAATCATCATGGGGAAATTCTTTAATAATGCTACGTTCCTTGTTTGTCAGGCTTCCATTTAACCAAGATTCCCCTCAACATGTGGGAGCAGGGAGGATTCTGCTTCTTAACTAATCAATGGCAGGTCCAATGTAATGCATGCACTGCCATTAGTTTAAGCGATGGGCAAAATATTTCAACTTCTCCCAAACAAGGTCTTTGCAGTATTAGGTCTTTTATCTTTTATATAGGCTTGTGCATCAACATCTTAAGTTTATGGGAAGTTATGATGGACCCTTTCTCCATATTCTGTCACAAGGCTTTGTCCCCAGTTCTAGGGCTTTGGCTACCGATGATAACAAGTGGTTTCTCATAAAAGAAGCTTTATTTAAATCCTTTGCCGGTCCCAAGCCCAGATGAAAAAAGAGGAGGGGGAGCAGTAACAAGCTCACTAAAAAACCTGGGCTCAGCTGGCCCGGCTGATAGTGCCCTGTAAGGGCTCCTGATCCAAAGATACAGGATGAGCAACATCTGTACTCCTTGTTAGGAGCGGCTGCACATAGTGTCTATTCCTCATATGAGGCGAGCATTTCATATTGGAGCTAAGTCCAGTCTTAATGACAAAGGCAGATGCATTCTACTTCACCCAGTCACGATGGTTGTCAAAACACCATCAAAATCTCCAGCTCTACAAGCTTGATACCCTGATATGATTGATGGAGAAGAAGAAAGAAGAAGAAAAGAGGCTTTACTGTAATATAGGTAGGAATATCATCTAAGATGTCACCATCCCTAAAATCCTCTTGCAGGACCTTGAGATCAGCTCAATATTTGCCATTACAGCTGAAGCTTCTCACTATAACTGGGGGGGATCTCATTGAGCCTTATAGCTCATTCTAGAGTTGTTTAGATGAATCAAGGCTGTCACAAGGGATTGAACTTCTCAAAAAATATCTGGCAATCACTTTTTTTTTAAAATAAAGTCAAAGATTATATTCTCAAATAAAGTTGAATATTCCTTTAAACAGCAAGGTAATATGTTTGTAAGTTTCCACTTTAGTTTCTACAGCCAAAATATATTTTTTAATGTTAACGGACTACAATATTGTCTGTCCTTGAATCAGATGGGGGTTGGGTGAGAATAGACCAATTGCTTCAGGTTAATCCTTAAAAAAAAAAAAAGGAAATATGAAATAAACCCTCTTATAACATGGTTTGCCTTTTTACTCTTATTTCTGTTATTATATTTTGATGGGGCTTTATTATTATACTTGTTCCAAGTTCACGTAGTACAGGCTATGATAATCATAGTGGGTAGTTAGCAACTGCCTTTTGCTGTAAGTGCCCCACAAATCTAAACATGTAGGAATTCTGATAAGGCACAATTTGGATTATAGATTATAAACACAAGGTAATAAGACCTAATCCAAATAAATAAATAGTGTATGACGGTAACGTCACACACTATTTATTTGGTCTTATTACCTTGTGTTCGTAGAAATTCTTTTCAGTTTCAAGCCTTGCGACACAATGGTCAACATCAAGAAAATATCATTTTACATATTTGTTGCTTTGTAAATACAATCTTGTTTTCAAATTACAAAACTATTTTAGACGCGTAATTATCTTTTTAAAATAAAACAATTTCTACTGCCCTTACTGCAATGGAAAAATTAAAGGGAGGGCCTGGCTCATCAGTGGTGAACCCTCCCAGCGGTTTCGCCAGTTTAATCTACCATACCGCTGTTATATTGCATTTTTGGAACTTCCTTTTATAGTGATACTGATGCTTGACTTTTTGAATGGGTATTTTAGATGAACTATGGACATAAGCTTTTAGGACAGCAGAATTATTAAACTGGCGAAACCGCTGGGAGGGTTCACCACTGATGAGCCAGGCCCTCCCTTTAATTAATTTTTCCATTGCAGTAAGGGCAGTAGAAATTGTATTATTTTAAAAAGAATATTATGCGTCTAAAATAGTTTTGTAATTTGATAACAGATGGCGCGCTAGTGCATCGAAACAAACTTGTTTCTCAGAGGTTTCTGTGTTGTGTTGATGTAACTCCTCCAACTTTGCTACTTATTGCTCTGTGGTTTCAATATTAAATACATGCTAAAAGGTATAACTTCCTTAAGTTTTGATAATGCACAATTTGGATTATAGATTATAAACACAAGGTAATAAGACCAAATCCAAATAGTGTGTGATGTTTCTGTAACAACGCGGTTACCGAAACCTCACACACTATTTATTTGGATTTGGTCCTATTACCTTGTGTTCCTTAAGTTTTGTCCATGTGAGTGTATATTATAAAAAATATATCAATTTGCGTTAAAAATGTGGTAAGGTATAATTTTTTTGGTTTAAAGGTAAAGACATCACAAAGTAATCCAAATAGGTGAAAAATACCTGATGGAAAAGTGACTGCATTGGTTTTAGCTCTTATATCAAACTTACTGATTTGGTTTTTCTACCTTGTGATGTTAATTTGTTCAAAGTTGATTTATTGATAAGGCACAATTTGGATTATAGATTACTAGCGAACCCGGCCACGCGTTGCTGTGGCTAAGTTGTAATATGTTAAATTAATATTATACTAAACTATTCAGTACAGTAAAGTTAATATTCACTTATAAAGATAAAAATGTTTTAGCCGATCTAAAGCCCTACGGGATTGAGAATGGACGTTACGTTAAAATTTGAAAGTGATTTTTATATATATAGATAATATAGCCCTTTATTGTACTTATTGATTATAATCACTGCATTAATAAATGTCAGTGAACCTGTTTTTTTATTTTTGAATTAAATGATCTAGCCGAACCCGGGCAGACGTTGCCCTGCCTCTACGCACCTCTATATATATAAAAATGGATGCCTGTATGTGTTTGTAATCAAGAATCTAGCATGTGCTGGGGAAAAATTAAAGATGAGTCATAAAGAATTGATGAAAAAATATATAGATTTTATTAATAGCAATATTTGAATGAATATCATATTGTATCATATGAAAACTAATCTATCGTAACGCGAGTGGATACACAATATTTTTGGTCCTCTCGTTTGGTGCGTAGATATATAGATATTTTGGCGTTCCAACCCGGGAGCAAGCGACGTAGAGTTGACCATGTGAAAAACATGGATTTCCTAAATGCAAACCGTCAACTCGCAGCGACTGTCCTTGGGATTTGTTGATTGTCATTGCGAAAGCGAGACGCACGGGAAACTGAAGTCGCTTGAATGTGAAGGGCAAATCAGTGGGGATCATTGGAATGCGCAGAATGAGCACATCCTCTCCTTTACATTTGCCACTGATTATCGTCGTTTCAATCACATTCGGCATCAACCTTTTTACGGAAAGTCTGGTTCCGTTGCACAACTTGGGTGTGTTGAGATTCCGAAGAAGCAATATTGGCGAGCCAACTTTCAACGACAATACATGCGGTGGCATTCCAGGAGGCTCCAATGAATTGAGAAATTCGACTGGATAATTGACAGCTTGGTCCTCTTCTGTGACTGTGTCAATAGATTTGTATTGCGTGACCGCTCCAGGAATTTTCAATTGAATCTTATGATTGATGCGATTGACGTCATTATTCTTCGGAGCTAAGATAGCTCGCTCGCAAAGCCAGTCGTGATTCTTGAAATTAGTGGCAATATCCGGGAAAACTACCTTTTCAAGATCTCCAATTGACGCCTGAAGTTGACAGAAGTTCGGTGGGAACGATATCTCGTGTGTTGCAGGATCAACCGGAATTTTTTGCCGTCGCCCATATTCAAAAGCTGCTTGGCAAATGTTTGTGCAGAAACATCTCCATGTAAATGCACACGCATATTGGTCGACAGTGTAATTTTCTTCACATGTCTCCAGAGAGCCGATTTCTTCAAGCATGTGTTCAGCTCATCTGCTGGTGTTGCTCTTGGAATGACAGGCAAGATTTGACGGAAATCACCAGCGAGCAGTATCAGAGCTCCACCCATTAGGGGTTGATTGCCTCGGAAATCGCGAAGAGTACGATCAAGTGCCTCAAGCGCTTTCTTGTGAGCCATCGTACATTCATCCCAAATGATGATTTGGCACGTTTTCAACACAGTGGCCATTCCTGATGTTTTTCCGATGTTGCAGAGAGGAACGTCGGCTATATTCAAATTCAATGGCAGCTTGAATGCCGAATGCGCCGTACGTCCTCCATCGAGCAGTGTTGCCGCAATTCCCGACGATGCCACAGCCAGAGCAATCTCATGTTTCATACGAATTTCGGCGAGTATCAAATTGAGCAAAAATGTTTTCCCAGTTCCTCCTGGGGCATCAAGGAACAGAAGACCACCATTTCCGGTTCGCACATGCTCCGTGACTGTGTTGTACGCAAGGTTTTATTCGTTTGTTAAGAGTCTTTTCTGAGTCTCAACATAAACTTGCAGCGTATCAGCGTCGTATTGCATTTCTCGCAACATATCTCTGTCGACAGCATCATTTCTGCCACGCTCGGGTGAGATCAAGCCAAGCTGATTGAGGATTTTGTTGTTGATCGACAAACATATATCCTCAAGTGATATCAGCGCTTGATTAAAAATTTCATCCGAATTCTGGGCATTGGGGTTAGCACTACGTACACGGCGAAGTATGTCTTCGCTCATACTCTCTTTATGCTTCTCCCATAGGCCTTTTGGGTCTGAAGGCGAGCAGGTTGTCAAAATGATAGCAAACAGAGTTCGTATTTGCTTAGGATGACATGTTTCAGATGCTTCTGCCAGTGTGTTGTCCCAATGCTGATCATTTTCAAGCAGACCAAGCTTGAAGCATGCCTCTCTATATGTCTGACAGATTTGGCCGTTGACGGTTTTGATAGCTTCGAACGATTGCGGGCCTTTGACTACATGAAGCAGCATTCGCAAATAGTAGCATTCAGCATTGCTTGGATGGACAGTATACACTCGCCCCAATGCGCCAGTGGAAAACACCTGAACCATTGAAGAGTGCAGCATGCCTTGTTTTCTCCGTTGCCACTTCTTCGTTGACTGATTCCATGTGTAATACGTCGGAACCTCATGATACAGCAATGTTGCAGCGAATGTGTCACTGGCACACAATTGAAAAAATGCAGTCAACGTTGTATTGGGTGGATTTTCAGCTCGCTGGGCCGCGCTCTCTTCTGTGAAGTATACTCGTTGACCATTTTCCAAATGCACACTGAGATGGACGACAGCAGGAGAGCGTTCGTGGATGTCAAAGCCAAGGATTCGCCATACAGCTTCATTGCTGCTGATATAACGTCCCATTTGAAACTGGTCGATTTCATTGACGGGTGCATTTGGATTTTGAAGTCCAAAAACTGCCATATCACTGCCCTTATTCACGTATTTACAAATGTATTTGATCGATTTGACAGAATTGCAATACTCCACGTTGATATGCGCATCAAATGCTTTCGAGAGCAAAGGAGAGTAAGGCACAATCCACCGGTTATCAACCTCAAAACCAACGTGATTGAGTTTGATTGTTGCTGTGTGGCCACCATCCTCTGGTTTTCGTCGTCTGTACAGAGGATAACCGTCGCCACCAGTTTGTGTGTCATGCACCAGGTCTCTTGGATACTTTTTGGTGCATTTGCCGTCCTTTATGCACGGTGAATGTGGGTTTTGCGCTCCACACGGTCCGTGAATCATATATTTCTTGATAATCTGGTACAATTCAGGATCTTCTTGTGGATCAGGCAGCTCAGCAGAAATGATATTATCGATTTGAGTTGGAAGAATTTTTTCCTCCAACCAAATCAAGATGTGAGCATGTGGAGTGCCTCTTTTTTGCCATTCGATGGAATACATCCAGCAGCGTGTTGGACCGTATATATGGTTCTTAACGATGAGATCAATAAAACATTTCAATTTCTGTTTGAAAACTCTCGCTGTGAGGTCATGCCGATGAGATGACTGTTGGCCAGGCAGAAGTAGATTTTTGATTTCGGCCCATGCTGGATTGCAAGTGAATGTGAGGAAAAGATCTGGACGTCCATATGTGCGAACATAAGTCATAGCATCCTGAGCATATTCATGCATATGTCTCGGACTTCCAGCGTACGAAGCTGGAAGTATGACCATTTGCCCAATGTTCGCAGCAGCAGCGGCTCCATCATTCGCGATTGCATCCCGCAAATGAATGTATTGGTCAGCTCGAAGCTTTGACTGATTGAAGCGAATGTAGTTGAGACGTTCGCTTTCGACTTTGGCATACATGTCAACGATGAATTGTTGGAAAAGTTGACGACACTTCAGGATGTGGTTGGATTCTTGGGCTCGAATCATGATGCGATATGCATAGAAGTCCATACAGCTGACTTTTTTCATTGTCACGGCGCCTGAGATAGGATGAACTTGATACAGTTCGAGATGATATCCGTCTTCACCGCGCGGAAAAAGTATTGGATATTGAAGGGCGTCGTACGATCGGTGCGTTTCAGCAACACGTTGCTTGGTTCCATCTCGTCTGCAGATAACAATATCTCGTCGGGCGATCTCTGTACCGACAATCACAGCTGCTACTTCAGGAGTCATCGGAGCATTGAAGCGTCGTTCATGCTCATTCGTCGGCGTCTTGTCTGCCCTGATGATGACTTTCATATCATCCGCTCGCACATTCTATACTGCGGATTTGAAGTCTCGGACCAAACAGTTGTGCTCGTGGAATAGCGTTTGTAATTCAGCGATGATTGCCCGCCTTGTTGCTTCACTGAATGCGCATCGTCGATCAATCTCCTCCTCCACGTTGTCCATGAAATAAATCTGCAAAAACCTCGGATCTTCATTGGGTACTGGAAGAAGTGAACCAATCTGATGGTACACTTGCCCTTGCACTTTGAATGTGGGCTCGAAATTTCCAAAACGCTCAATATGCGTCGCTCCAAACGATGTCATTTGGAAGCATGAGTTGTACTTCCGAATATGCTGAAGGAAATGTTTCGACTCCCGAGTTGCTCCAGCTACGTATGTTAGAAGTGGCTGTGGCGGCTCAACCATCGGAGGCAAATTGACTTTCCCATTGGAGCAACACATCCCGGGTGTTTCCTTCTGAAACTTCAATGCATGACAGTGTAGACACAATTTATCCATTGGACCAATGACCAAATCTTGATGCATTTTGTAATCGTATTGTTTATCGTAGTTGAACGCACCTTTTTTAAGAGCGATCCTCGTTCGTGATCGAGCCTGGCGTGAGCGTTGTGCCTCATGTCGTGCATCTCGCTCTTCGGGTGTTGCAGCAGCCCTTGAAGTAGACGCTCTGATTCGTTCGATTTCCCGTCGTGTGTCTCGCTGTTCGGGTGTTGCAGCAGCTCTTGAAGTAGACGCTCTGACTCGATCAATTTCCCGTCGTGTGTCTCGCTGTTCGGGTGTTGCAGCAGCTCTTGAAGTAGACGCTCTGACTCGATCAATTTCCCGTCGTGTGTCTCGCTCTTCGGGTGTTGCAGCAGCTCTACTGGCTGACACTTGCCGCGCATTTCTGGTTGATCTTCCAATGTTGTTCTTTTTTCGTGGCATTTCAAAAACGTCTTACAATTCAACGTTTGGTGACAAATGAGTCGTCCGAAGATAGAAGGCAATGACCTACAACGAAACAAAAATACATATTTTTACTATTCTATTCACATCTAGTGTAAGGGCGAGTAGATTAACAATATTTTCGGTTTGGTAATTTGGTATTTTAATGTAAAGAGGTCAAGAGGTGAACACAATTCCAATGTAAATGATATTAAATTTCAAACGCACTCAGAAATTAGTAATCGCTATTTGTTAATTTAATAATTCTGTAGGGAGAGAAACGCAAAAAAGCCGAAAATAACAGTTCAGAGTGATTCTTTGAAAGGCCAGTAAAGGTTTCAAATGTTTACTTTTATTCTTGGTAGCAGGTTAATCACATGTATGACAATTAGGACCTACTGTAACATAACACGGCAATAAAAGCCTACATTTTGAATAAAATAATATTTATATAATCTAGCCCTTTATTGTAAATATTGATTATTGATTATAATCACTGCATTAATAAATGTCAGTGAACTTGTTTATATGTATTGTTTTTTTGTTTTTGAGATATTCTAATAGAACGTTCTCACAATTTTTGTAAAATATTTATATATGCACAAACACAGAATTTAAAAATATGTCTTAATATTTGCTATAATTATTGTTATAAATATTATTTTAAAATAATTCGCCAGAAATCGTCCCGGTAGTATACTAAACAACTTCCCAAAGTTTCATGGCAAACATCTAAAATAAAATAATACTTTTAATACTTTGCTACAATATTAAAAAGAGGGGTGCTTAGGTGTTTAAAATGTAAAATGTGCTCTAAATAGTATTACATAGAGCCTTCATAACAAACATATTTAAAATAAACCAATTAAAATATAATAATGCTGTAAAAAAAAGACTTTGCTACAATAATATAAAAGAAATGAAAATAAAAAAAAGACACCCACGCTGAGCCTCGAACCTAGGTTTGTTATAAATATTATTTAAAAATTGTTTATGTTAATTTTTATTTTAAAAAGCCTACATTTTAAATAAAATAATATTTTTAATAATTTGCTACAATAATATAAAAGAAATGAAAAAAAAAAAACACCCACGCTGAGTCTCGAACCTAGGTTGTGGGGGTACGAAGCTGTGTACCTAACCTATAGGCTAAGCTTGACGTTACAAATATGCTCATGCGAGGCTATTTCAGGCCATACGCCTGCCGCGAGGGGGCGCTGATTGCGAGTGAATTTACGTTTTATTGTAAATAAAAATGCAACGAAAGGTTATTTCTAAAGAGTAATTAGCCAGAAACCATCCCGGTAGTATACTAAACAACTTCCCAAAGTTTCATCACGATCGGTAGAGCGATGTAGAAGATTATCACTTACGAACGGACCAACAAACATTCATTTTTATATATATAGATAAACACAAGGTAATAAGACCAAATCCAAATGAATAAATAGTATGTGATGTTTAGGTAACAGCTTTGTTACCATCTTCAGAATTTGATTCAGTACTTGTGTCTGAAGATGGTAACAACACTATTACCGAAACATCACACACTATTTATTTATTTGGTGTTATTACCTTGTGTTGATTTATTGTTCACATATATGATTTTCAAAATACAATGGTTGGCCTTGAGGAAGCAGAATGGTTACTCTTGTTCATGAACTTATCATTATCATCTTGCAATTGAAAGCTATCAAATAGTCTCATCCCCAAATATCATTCACTATAGTACAGTAGGAGTACTTGCTAGGGAACATCTCTTTACAAAGAACAGTTGCCATCACCCAAATCTAGTTGCAGGGCCATAGAGTGTCTTTTAGTGAGAAGTGTCCTCTTACTAGAGATCAGCTAATAGTAAAAAATGATCAATTTTGGTGATGAAATTGGTCCTTTGTAGAGAGGTGTCCTCTCATGGAGGTAGTTCTAATGTATTATTAGAATCAGTTATTATATTAAATAATGGTGGTTAATATATTTTTCATGTTAGCTTCAGTGTTTACCTTGTGCTAACCTATCAGAAATAATTTTTGTCTACACTCAGGTATGGGGCAGAAATAAAGAAGATCTATTTCTATAGCTCTCTCAACAATAATGTGAAAAGGCCAAATCCAAATAAATAAACAATGTGTTACATCTAGGTAACCATGTGTTTCCATCATCTTCTTCTTTCTTATCTCCACTCAATCATATTAGGGTGTCAAGCTTGTAAAGCTTGAGACTTTTGATGGTGTCTGCCGGGGAAGTGTAGAGCTCATCAATGGATGAATCAATACAGTCAATTATTTCCATCATGACTGGGTGAAGTAGAATGTGTCTGCCTTTGCCTTTTTTTCTAATCCATTAGTTGAATGCTTAAACCACAACTCACACAGACCTCCTAGTATATTGATGACTTGCTGTTGTAGATATCTTGTTGTTTAGGTCACAGTACTGTGCTCCGGGGATGTCTCACAAGCCAGACATTTTGTGCAGTTTAGGAAGTGTTTGGTTTTGCCTTTGTCATTAAGACTGGGAGCACTACTCAGTAGCAGACCGAATTAGCTCCAATATGAAATGGCTGCCTCAGGCATGAGGAACAGATGCCATGTGCAACCGCTCCTAACATGGAGTACAGACGCTGCTCATCCTAGGTCAGCTGAGTCCAGGACTTTTAGCGAGCTTGTCACTGCTCCCCCTCCTCTTTTTTTATCCAGGCTTGGGACCAGCAAAGGTAGAGTATTCATCCCCAGCAGAGACCATCATAATTCTCAAGCTCGACAGGCTTGATACCCTAATAGGATTGAGTGGAGATAAAGAGAAGACCTTGTGTTTCTAATCTATAATCCAAATTGTACCTAATCACCTCTCCCAATAATGATATCAGCCCATTGGGTCTGTGAATTCATTGCAATTTCTGATTTTCTAATTTAAGATGCCACAGAATCTAGGGACTTCCTTCAAAAGTGGCCTTTGAATATAAAGGATTTTATAGGAAACCCATTTTAATTAAATGGAAGTGTCAAAAAATATGCTGGCTTTTTGCCTGAAATCCAAAACTAATTGATTGAGAGGTTATTTTCAATCTATAATGATTGTTCCAAACCATTGTTTAATGAATTATGTGTAACTTTGTAATTTTATAAGTTAATAAGATCTTGAGATATGGCTGTATATGGGGTAAAATATAATTGATTATGATAAATTTTTCATCTATAGCGAATCTTTAAAAATTTCTCAAGTAGCTAAAAGTAAAATGCCTAAAGTAGATTTTTAAAATATCTGGTTAAAAATAGTAAATATGATCCTAAGGGTTTTCTCCATTTAAATTTTAAATGTTCTAGTTATATATTCTAAATATAGTAATAACTAGTATTATATACATTATATTACGGATTTGCAGGGTTCGACTTTCCAAATATCGTTTTCAAATAAATATAATTACCTTTCGACATTAATTGTCTCAAATGGAGCAAATAAATCATCGATATCCATATCTCTCTTTCGATTGGAATATTATAAATTATATTTAAAGGTATACATATAAAAAATTATTTAAAATCCCTATTCGCGCACATTTTGTTTGACATGCTTTCACGTGTTTATGTTTTAGAATGGATGATGATTTTATAAAACTCTGTGAATGTAAATTAATTTTTAAAAAATATTTATAATTGATTGAAATAAATTTAAAAAAATTAAATATATATATATATTTTTTAAATCGTAGGTTTATAAAATGGCCAAATGATTTATTTTCTAAGGAAAACTTTTTCAAAATATTATTGCTAGGAAAAAAAAAACAAATAGCTAAATGTAACTTTCAGTAGCAACAATCAGGAAAGATTTCTGTTTAATTTTACCTCCTTGACTCAGTTTATTCTTCCTTTTTCTTTTTATTCTAATAAGTTAGTTGCTGATATAGGCTTAGTAAAATACGATTATGCTTTATGAAGATTTCTAGTTGTTATGGTACTCACGTATGTTGTAGTTACGAGGACATCCCTTTAGATATAAACAAATATATATTTATTTAAGGAACGACTTGTTCCATTACATATTGTTAAGACAAGTTAGCGGTAAACAATAACAGCAAGTTTTGAAGGTAGAAGTTGGAAGTTACGTCATCGTAGTGACGTCAGCATCTATGATGATTAAAGTCAAAGTTTGCGTAACAATTCCCTCCTTACCTTGGCTTTATTCCCACGATGCTGAGGCTCTCCAGGTGTTTCTTCATCTGGTCTCGGGATAGGTCCTTTGTGAAGATATCCGCCACCAGGTCCTGAGATGGCTTGTACAGAAGGCAGATGTCTCTGGATTCATAACAGTCTCTCAAGAAGTGGTACTTTCTGTTGATATGTCTATAGCGACTGCTTTGTTTAGGGCTGGAGATCCAGTTGATCAATGACTGACTGTCTGTATAGATCGCAGTTGGTTTTTCCATGAAATTCCATTCTCCCAGCTCTCGTAGCAGGTTTATTATCCACTTGATTTGACAGCAGCTTTCACAAGCAGCTATCATTTCCGCTTCCATTGTGGAGAGGGCGACGAGTGGTTGTTTACTACTTTTCCAGTCTATAGTTGCTTCGCCGAGCTTCAATACATATCCGCCGTAGGATTTTCCGTCATGAGTGGTCGACCAGCTGGCATCGGCGTAGGACTTCAGGATTCCAGTCTTCCCTCTTTCAAATTTCACTCCTAGGTCAATTGTTCCTCGTAGGTATCTCATAACTCTTTTGATTGCTGTCCAGTGTATCTGTTTTGGTTGTTTGGAGTACTGTGAAAGTTTGCCAGTGATGTAAGCAATGTCGGGTCTGGTGTTAACAGCTAGAAACATTAGCATTCCAAGGGCTTCCTGGTAAGTGTGCTGTTCACAATTGTCATCTTCAATATGATTATCCAAATTGATTTCTTTGGAACCTGGTGTTGGAACTTCCTTACAAGTTTCCATTCCATATTTCTGCAATATTTGTTGTACATAGTGGCTTTGCTGTAGCGAAATTCCCTCCTTGTCTTGTATGATCTTGATTCCCAAAAACATGCCTTTACATGTTACATCCTTTATTTCCAGGTGATGTCTCAATTTATTGATGAATCTGTTTGAGGTATCTTCAGAATCTGAGACAGTGATAAAGTCATCAACATATATCCCTACATAGAAGTATTTGTCTTCATTCTTCCATTTAAATAGGCAAGGATCAGATTTAAGTTTTTCCAGTCCACAGTCATGAAGTACTTGACTGAATTTCTCATACCACGATCTTCCGGATTGAGGTAGACCGTAAATACTTTTGTTGAGTTTGCAAACTTTGTTTCTGTCTTGGACAAATCCAGCAGGTTGTTCCATGAATATTGTATTTTCAATGTTTCCATTTAGATAGGCTGCTTTTACATCAAATAGTTTAATGACTGAATCTTTTGTTGCTGCCATTGACAAAATAGTCCTGAGGGTGGCATTTTTAATTACAGGGCTGAAACTTTCGTTGTAATCTCTTCCTGGGATTTGGTAGTATCCCATTGCAACAAGTCTAGCTTTGTAAGTTTTGTTTTCTTGGTCTTTAGATATTTTGAACACCCATTTACTTTTGACAACTTTAGCGTTTACAGGTCTAGGTACCAGTTCCCATACTTGATGCGAGTACATGTTCTGTATTTCCTCAAGCATTGCGTTCTCCCAATGTTTCTTGTCTTCGCATGCGATGGCTTCTTCATAGTCTTTCGGAATGGTTTCATTAGTAGTAGCCAGAACGTAGTCATCGAATCTTTTAGGTATTGTTCGAGTTCTTTGTGGTCTGTCTGATTCACTTGACTCTGTCTGTCTGTTGATCATGGTATCTGGTGCTGGCTCTTCAATATCAACATCTGATAGAACATGATTGTCCAGTTGTTCATCCTCCTGAATGAAGAAATATGTGTCAGTGTCCGTATTATTATCACTTTGTTTTTCTTCCAAGATGACATTTTTGTTCTCTCTGAAGTGAATGTCTGCGGTTTCGAGAATGACTCTCGCTGTGATATCAAATACTCGATAAGCTCTTCTGCATCTCGAATATCCTACAAAAATTCCTCTCTTAGATTTAGCTTCTAGTTTGTGTCTTTGATGATTCTCGAGTTTATAGAAGACTTCACAACCAAATCTCATGATGTGAGAGACGGATGGCTTTTTACCTTTCCATTTTTCCATAGGGGTAGTGTCTGGGTCATTGGTTGTGGGAGTTAGATTGTACAGATATGCAGCTGTATTCACAGCTTCTGCCCAGAAGTGTAGGGGTAATTGGGAGTCTGCCAGAAGTGTTCGGCCTTTGTCTAATAGTGTTCTGTTAGCTCTTTCAACTCTCCCATTGCTTCTTGGGGTGTACGGTGTAGTTAGTTCATGTTTAATTCCTTTGGATTCTATGAAGGTTTCAAGGTTTTTATTGATAAATTCTGTTCCGTTATCTGTTCTAAGTCGTTTTAGTTTTGAGTTTAGCTCGTTTTCTCTCTTTACAATAAACTTCTTCAAAACTTCTGCTGCTGAGAGTTTATCTTTGAGAAATTCTACAAATATTCTCCTAGAAAATCCATCTACGATGGTCAGGAAATATTTACTTCCGCCCAAGGAGTTTATTCTCATTGGACCACAGAGATCGACATAAATGGCTTCAAATGGGTAGCTTTCCTGATTGCCATCTGTGTGAACATAGGGTACTTTGGTCATTTTTCCCAAGGAGCAAGCATCACATTGATCAAGGGTACCATTTATAGAGTTCAAGCCTTTTAGAAGATTGTTCTTCAAAATCAGGTCTAGTTTGTTGTCACTAGGATGCCCTAACCTTCTGTGCCATGCAGTCCTAGAATTGTCCTTTGAAATCAAGCAATGTTCGTTTGGAACATGAGTTGCTTCAGATAAACGTGATAGGTTCAATGTGTACATGTTACCATCAAAGTTTCCTGTTCCTATTAGCTTGTCATCAGAAGAGTATATGTATGCTCCTTCAGAATTCAAAAGAACAGAGTTCCCTCTTCTTACTACGCTTGGAATGGACATTAGATTTCCTTTCAGGTGTGGTACATGGAGGACATTATGCAGGGTTACAGCGTTGTTAAGTTTGTCCTTACCTTGTACAGTAGCTTGGATTAATCCTGATGAGGCAGATTCGATGTGTCTCCCTTCTTCCGCCACTTGTATGCTTCTTCTCTCCTCCGTCTTGTGCTCGATCCAATCACCATGGGAAGTCATGTGGCTTGTGCACGCAGAATCAATTATCCACACGTCCTGAGTTGTCGGGCGTTCCTCCCTTGTGCTTGCATGTAGTGCGTATTCTGAAGTGGAGTCTCTTCGTTGGGATGGTTCCTCCGTTCGTTCTTGGATTGCTGACCTGGCTGTGTCTTTGTTTTGTTTTGGTCCTTTATGGTAGTTCCTTGTACTGGCCATGTTATTTTTGTTTGTTGTATTCTTTTGATTTCCTTTGTTGTCAGGGTTGAACCAACAGTCTTTCTTGAAATGTCCTTTTCTTTTGCAAATGAAGCATGATTTTTCTTTGAATTGGTTGCCTGATGATCTGAAAGCATTTTCAGGATTTTTGCTTCTGTCCTGTCTTTTCTTCTCGAAATCCAGTAGAGTTTGTCTCAAGTCTGGTAAGGAGATTTCTCTGTTTATTGACAGTGCTGCTGCGATCGTGTCAAAGTTAGGTGTGAGTC